TTTATTAAGATTCTGTGTGTGTGCGTGTCTGTGTGTGTGCGCGCGTGTGCGTGCGTGCATACATGTGTGCACCTGAGTGTGAGCATGTGCACGTCATGGTGTGTGTTGGAGGTGGCAGCCAGAGAACAACTGATGGGAACTGGTTCTCTCCTTCCTTCACAGATTTCAGGGACTGAACTCAGGTCACCCGGTTTGTGTGGCAAGTGCTTTTTTACCCACTGAGACATCTTTGCTGGCCCATTACTTTTGAATTAAAAAATGTCTATGGGCATAGGGTTCCCAGGCACTGGTAAACATTTCTTCATTTGAAAGATGTCCCCATTCTTCAGAGGCACATGGCAGAGTCTAATACAACTCAGCTCAAGGAAGTTCCCTTCCTCATAGAAGCCGCCTGCTTTCTCGTGCGCATTGTGACCTTAACCCCTGTTTGCAACACAGAAAGGGGAAGGGACAGTCACTGAAAAGAGATCTCTGCCTCATAAAGTTAGTGGGCAAAGAGGCAAAAGATGAGGATTCATATGAAAAATGGCTGCTCTAAGAAGGCAGAAAGAACAGCTGAGGAGCTGTCCAGGGCCAGGCAGACACAGAAGGCTGAAGACATATGCTTCTGTTCTGCTACCTGTCCTCATGCTGGGATGGCATACTGCAAGGCGTCTTCACTCCTGTGATGTGTTAATGACAGACCAGAGATGCTCGCTGTGTGATGTGTTAATGACAACATGGAGATGCTCACTATGTGATGTGTTAATAACAACATGGAGATGCTCGCTATGTGATGGTCTTTTGGACATGAAAAAGCAAAATAGAAGTGTCCACATTGGAGATTCTGGGTCAGCTTTTCCTGGGGTCTGCCTCTGAGAAGGTCGGTGAAACTTGTACTTGTCTGGTCCTGAGCAAAATTAAAGTGATCACAGACTGAAGATATTTTTTTGTGTTTAGTAAGAAAAGCAAGTTCTAACCTAGAGGGCAATGGTTCCGGGTGTGAACAAACTCAATTTAGTCTCTGCTGTGATATTACTTGAGCACACAAAGTGGCTATTAAGAGAGCAGCCTGTAAGTAAAACAGCCTGTAAATTTCTTCCCTGTTCAGCTAACAATGTGAATTTGTGGGATAATGCTGCCCAGGCTTGTGAGTTCCTCAGAGGCTTAAGCCTTCAGTAGAACAAAGAACTGGTGTGGGCTCTGGATCTGCCGCTAAGACATTCTGTCAGAAAGAGGCCAGACAGACAAAATTGGCTTACAGAGGGTGCTGTCTAGACACATTTGTTCTTTTCTCTCTCTCCAAGCTGTGTGTAACAAGACATTTCTTTTTTTTCTCCAAATTTGAACATATCACTTAATAGCACCAGCATTATTTAGCCATCTGGCATTGTTATCTGACACTGCTACTTAATGTTTTAGTGTTCTTTTCCTTCCTTCCTTTCTTCTTTCCTTCCTTCCTTCCATTGGAAATTTATCAGAGTATTGGACCTGCTTGCACCCACCAAAAGATAACCTGGGACCCGTACCCACCGGGAGAGGAAAAGACACCACCTGTACCCAATGGAAGAAGGGACAGGAAGACTACAAGATAAGAACACATTCAACAACAGAAAAACCAATATGATGCCACCAGAGTCTAGGGACATTACACTAGAAAGACCTAAACATCTCATCACAGATGAAGCAGAAGAGAAAAAGCATAAAAAACTTCATGAAGATGATAGAGACCCTAAAAGAGGAAAAGAGAAAATTCTTTAAAGAAATGGAAGAAATAAAATAAAAAGTTCAAGAAATGGAGGAAAAGACAATCCAAAACTTGCAAGAAACACTTCAAACAGACCAAGGTTTGAAAGCTGATATAGGGACAATAAAAAAATCACAGTCTGAGGGAATGGTGGAATTAGAAAAGTGGGTTAATGATCAGGAAGTACAGATGCAAGCATAATCAACAGAATACAAAAGATGGAAGAGAGAACCTCAGACATTTAAGATACACTAGGAGAAATAGACTCATCAATCAAAGAAAATCTTAAGTCCAACAAATCCCTAACACAAAATATCCAGGAAATATGTTCACACCATGAAAAGTCCAAACCTAAGAATAATAGGTATAGAAGAAAGTGAAGAAACCCAACTCAAAAGTGCGGAAAACATATTCAACAAAATCATAGAAGAAAACTTTCCCAATGTGAAGAAAGACATGCCAATGAAGGTACAAGAAGCTTCCAGAACACCAAATAGAGTGGACCACAAAAAAGTCCCCTTGCCACATAATAATTAAAATACCAAACATACAGAACAAATAAAGTATATTAAGAGGAGCAAAGGAAAAAGGCCAAGTAACATATAAAGGCAAACCTATCAAAATTACAGCTGAATTCTCCATGGAAACTCTGAAAGCCAGAAGGTCCTGGATAGATAGTCTACCAACACTAAGAGACCACGGATGCCAGCCCAGACTACTATACCCAGCAAAGCTTTCACTATAGTTGGATAAAACAAGATATTCCATGACAAAACCAGACTTAAACAAAACATATCCACTAATCCAGCCCTACAGAAAGTACTGAAAGGAAAGCTCCAATCTAATGAAGTTAACTATACTCACAAAAACATAGGCAACTTCCGGAATCCAATTGGACAGAGAGAGAAGTGATGAACAAAGGTGTTAAGGTCAGGCTGGAGAAACCCACAGAAACAGCTGACCTGGACAAAGGGAGCTCATGGACCCCAGACTGATAATTGGGAACCCAGCATAGGACAGACCCAGACCCCTGCACGTGGGTGTCAGTTAGGAGGACTGAGTAGTCTATGGGGCTTCTGGTAATGGATCAGTTTATCCCTAGTATACAAATGGACTTTGGGAGCCCATTCCACATAGAAGGATACTCTCTCAGCCTAGACTCACAGGGGAGGGCCTAGGCCCTGCTCCAAATGGAAGGCTTCACCCTCCCTGGGGAGCAGAAAGGGGATGAGATAGGGATTGGTCAGGGGGCATGGTAGGATAGGAGGGAGAAGGAACTGGGATTGACATGTAAAACAAGATTGCTTCTAATTTAAATTTAAAAATTGTAAAAAATGTATTTTCTTCTTTAATATTATGCAAAAATATGGAAATAAATGTTTATGTTCTTTGATATTTCCGTGTAATTTCTAACAAATAATCATTTTATGACCTCCAGAAAACGTAAATGTTTCTTAGCCTTGTACATAAAAGTTCGCTGTTCATGTCTTTGTCTGCCTTCTATTACTGACCAAAAGCAACTTGAAGAGACTGAGTCCATTTCATATTTTACCTTGAAGGAAATCAAAGCAGGAATTTAAGGCAGGAACCTGGACACAGAACTCTGAAACAGAGGGCGAGGAGGAGTCTTATTCTCTGACTTGCTCTTCATAGTTTGTTCAGCCTGCTTTTTTTATACAATTCAGGGTCACTTGCCCAAGGATAGCACAACACACGGTGGGTTGGTCCCTCCCACAGCAATCGTGAATCAAGAAATTGTCCCATAGGCCTGTTTATGGGTCAGTCTTATTAAAGCATCGTCTCAATTAAGGTTCATTCTTCCCTGATGATCCTAGCTTGTGTCACATGACAAAAATCTAACAGCCCCAATTCCTAAACTTTAATTCCTAATAATTATGGCAGTTATCTTTAAATTAGAAACAAGGTTGCTTCACATGTCAATTCCAGGTCCCTCTCCCTTTCCCTCCCCTCCTCCCACGCTCTCCCACCAACACTTTCAATATACCCTCATTTCCCCAGGGAGGGTGAGGCCGTCCATGGGGGTGTCCATAGTCTGTCATTTCATCCAGGGCAGGGCCTAAACCCTCCCCAGGGTGAGAGTGCATCTCTCACTGTTGGATGGGAGTCCGAAGTCCATTTGTATACCCAGGATAAATACTGATCTACTACCCGAGCCCAATAGATTACCTAGGCCTCCTCACTGACACCCACATTCAGGGGGTCTTGATCAGTCCCATGCTGGATTCCCAGGCATCAGCCTGGGATTCAAGATCTAACCCTTGTCAGATCAGCTGTTTCTGGGGGTTAAACCAGCCCAGTCTTAATCCCTTTGGTCATCAGTCCTCCCTCTCTGTTACTGGCTTTCTTGAGTTCAGCTCAATGTTTAGCTGTGGGTGTCTGCCTCTGCTTCCATCAGCCACTGAATGAAGGTTCTGTTTCCCAAACTCTCTGGCCATGGGATTGTAGGCTGGCACTCCCCAGATCTATGTCTAAAATCCGTATATGAGAGAGTACATTGTGGCGGTTATCTTAAGTTACACAGTGGTGCTGAAAGTTTGAAACACAAGGTCTGTAGATGGCGCATTATGTCATGAAGCTCGAATTGCCCAGTGTTGACTTAACAATTGGTTTTTAAAGGCAAACATGATTATTGGGGAGGGTTTGTGTCACTTCAAAAGACTAATGTGTTTGAGTACGTGTGCAATGCATACCTTCAAATTCTCCTCTGATTTCCATTTGTCCAGAGGTAGAAGATGAGGAGGACGAGGAGGATGAAGAAGATGAGGATGAAGAAGAGGAGGGAGAGGAAGAAGATGAGGAAGACAAGGCAGCAGACACCTTGTACAAGGACTTCGACAGTGATACTGAGCTGCCAGGGATTACTCTCCCTGGAATCACATCCCAGGGACCTGATACTGAGCCAGGCAGCATGGCCCTACTAGAGGTAGCAACCTACCAGGTGCCAGAAACCATGGAGTGGGAACAGCAGAATCAAGGTCTTGGTAAGTCCTTTGACTGCCTCTTTCCTTTCCCAAGGTTTCATTTCATTCACTGGCATGTCAGAGAGAAACTAATCTGCTTATGGTCATGGGTGTTTATCTGTGTGGAAATTATCAATTATTTCCTCCAGAATTTTTGATATGTGTTCCTACATAACTGACTCCAATTCCCCACTGCCCATTACCAGTCTGGTTACTTGATGTTTTGGAAGGATCTTCTTTTTTTTCATTCCTAGAAGGAAGCCTTCTAAATGGGAAGAGGGACACATAGCAAGGTTTCTAAACAAACAGTTCACATGGACTGGAGACAGGAATAAAATGGATTTTGTCACCCTCTGTCCTATCAGAATTAGTACACTAGAAGTTTTTGCCCTGGTACTGGTACCGGGTAAGCCATTTGGGAAGCTTGGGATTTTTCATCATAGAGACAATCTCACTCAGCAAGTGTCCAGTCGCATGCCTCTTTTTCTGCGAGTGGTCCATGTTGTTATGATAGACTCTGAGGTTATGGGCTGGATCCTATCTCTACACCCTCTTTCCTGCCGTAAGGAAGCTTCTGACGTCTCCCTTTCTCCTAGTTGCGTGAAGATGGTATTAAGAGACTCACTCTTTTCATGTGTGGTGAGTGATCTTTCCACCAAAGAAATCCTGTACCTAAAATACCCTGAGTCTTTAACATCTGGGGCAAACATAGAATATAAGAGTCACTGAGATTCCTTTGGAGGTATTTCTTTCAAAATTTGGTTGTTGGTTTGGGATATTGCTCTCAACGTAATTCTGGGTTTATCACTTTGTAGGTTGGCATAAAAATTGTAGGGGATGTTTAGGTGAAGTTTGCTATGAGGTATGCACATAATTAGGAGAAGTCACAATGGAGAATGGCTCTCCAGACTATAAACAGTGTTTGTAATTTTGTATATAGTGCTTCCTTAATTATTTTCTGAGCAAATACATCAGGTATTGGGTGATAATTACTTAAGATACATAATGCAAGGACCATGTGTGATGGCAAATAGCTTTAATTCCAGTACTCAAAAATTAGAGTCAGGTGAATTTCATCTATATTGTGAGGTTCAAGACAACTAGGGCTATATATTAATGGATCCTCTATCCCATATACATACAATATATAATAAATTAATACAAGTTATTAGCAAATTATATTACTATATAATTTGTTCTATAAGGGTGTTAAAGTTTATGAAGTTATTAAAACACAAATATTTAAAATAAAAAATAATATGAACATTTATTTGTAAATATATATTGTTTCAAATGCTTCTGACAAGTGGGCTTATAATGAATGAAATAGAATACAAAAATATAAAGAGAATTTGTTACCAAACATGCTAAAGCGAATACAACAATCTCTACATGAAGTGGCTCCTCATATCAAGGCAGTGTTATATGGCAGTATCATATACAGTTAAATAGTTGTAATGGCTTGAATATGAATTTTGTCACACTGGCAAGTGAGCAAACCCTCTATGTCTAGGTGGTGGTGTGCTTTGTAGGTTATATGTGGTCGTAAGTCCCTTCCCTTACTCTGCTTCCTTGACTTGATATGAACTCCACCATGCTTTTCTGATATGTGGACTAGATCCCCTGTCTCCTTAACTTGTTTCTACCATATATTCTGTCGTGGCAGTGAGAAAAGAAACACTGGTCTTTGTAGTGTAGCTATCCAGTGTGATGAGTATTTGAGACTGCTATTTTGCTAGAGAGATGAGAGAAAGATTACCTTCCTATAGAAGTTAGCAGGCTGTTCAGGAATGGTGGTGTGGAGGCAAGGAGGTTGCAAGTTTGAGGGAAGCCTCAAGTATATAGCCAGTTGAGGCCAGTCTGGGCTCCACAGCTAGAACTTATATCCCGAATTATAACCCATGGAGAGGAAATTAACAGACAAGCAGCACTAGGTAAGCATCTGCACCTGGGTTGTGAGTAAGGAAATGAACTCTGCTCACTTAGGAAGTGGGGTTGCCGTGTACACGTTATTATAAGCATTTGGAAGGACAGTGGGGCTCAGGAGAAGGTAGACAGGCTGTGTTCTAATCATGTCCCTACATGCAAATTTGTTATCGAAAGGAGTCAAGTTTTTAAGAGATTGTTGTATTGATTTGCATATTATATATGTAAATTGCATCCACTTCAATGAAGTGGGGGTCTTCGTTTTGTTTTTCAAGGTCTCTGTAGTAGACCAGGCTGGCCAGACTCGTGGTTCTTCTGTCTCAGCTCCCCCAGCGCTGGATTACAGATGTGTGCCACTTCACCAGACAGGCCAGGTTTGCAGGTTGTCACTCACGTTCTTCCTCCACAGCTGGCACACACGTCATTTCCAGTCATTTCCACCATCCAGCCAATGCCCTTTGCCTCAGTGAACCACCGATCTGCTTTTAAACTTATTTATTTACTTTCAATATATTATTTTCATTTGTGCTTGAGTGTGTGTGTGTGTGTGTGGTCTGTGTGTATGTGTGTGTGTGTGTGTGCGTGTGTGTGTGTGTGTGTGTGTGTGTGTGTGTGAACCACCACAGACCACATGTCAAGGTCGGGAACAGCTTGTGGGAGTTGGTTCTTTCCTTCCAGCATGTGGGTTTTGGGGATCAAATATAGGTCATCAGGCTTAAAAACAAGTGGCTTTATGCATTGAGCTACCCTGACAGCCTCATTTATTAGCTTTTATTTGATTCCCCTAGTCTTGAGCGTTTCTTTAAAGATTTATTTTATTTTTAATTATGGTTATGGTGTGTATCTGGGGTAGGGGTATGTGGACAAGAGTACAGATACCCATGGAAGTCAGAAGAGGTGATTGAATTCCCTAGAGCTGGGGCTACAGGCAGTTATAAGCTCTCCCATGCAGGTGCTGGCAACCAAACAAGTCCTCTGGAAGAGCAGCAAGTGTTCTTAACCACTGAACCAACTCTCCTGTCTTTGGATTTTTTTATATCGGTGTTTTTTTTTATTATAGACTATTTTTCTAGATATTTCTTATGTTTCATCATCATTGTTTTTCCAAGTTCACGTCATTAGACTGCTGTTAGCATTGCAGAGTTTGTGGAAGCTCAAACAAGGAGTGATTCCTTAAAGCTGGGTTTCCTCCCTATCGGGGGATATGGAACCACACAGGGTATGTTGTCATATTTATTGAGGGAGAAATCACTTACATGAGAAAGCGAGAACCAAGAGTCGGCTCTCTGTTCTCCGAGACCAGACCGGAGCCCCAAGAGAGCCGGCATTCTCCTGCACAGCCCTTAATTTCCCATGTCCACAAGCACCTGTAGCCATTCCCAGAGTGGGCGTGGTCAGCGGCATAGGTATCTAAGATCTCTCCCTACACCTCCCACTGGGGAAAGACTGTGATTGAATAGTATCGGAGTCTAAAATTCTACTAGTCGAACTTTTTTGCTGAGTTGTCTCTTTACAACTTTAAATTAACTGTGGAATAATACTAATTGATCCAAAACCTTCAGGTCAGACCCTGTTTTTCTGGTACATTTTGTGATTGGTGGAATAATGACTTCTCAAAGAAGTACATGCCCAATCTCCAAAGGCTTTAGATATTTTACTTTATGTGGAAAAGAAACGTATCATGAGATAGGAGTAGGGACATTAGTCTGGAGAGGAGTGGTCTCAAGGTAACAGGTTAGGGGCATAACTCAGTTGGTAGAGTGCTTGTTAGCATGGAAGAAAATCCCAAGGTTTGATCTCAGTACTGCACAAGCTGGACATGATGGTGTATGCCTGCTATCCCAATACATTGAAAGAGGAGGCAGGAGGAGTTCAAAGTCATCCTAGGCTATAGACAGAGATTGAGGCCAGCATGGGATACATGTGACCCTGTCCAAACAATAACAATAACAATAGAGGAAAACCCCCATCCCTCCACAGACGAACAAACAGAGAAAAGAAACTCAGGGTGTAGGAGTCAGAGAAAGAGATGTGATTATGGAGACAAATGTAGGAGTAATGAGGCTCCAAGGGAAGGGATGCTTGAAACCCCTAGACCAGTGGTTCTCAGTCTTCCTAAGGCTGCACGCCTTGACAAAGTTCCTCACGCTGTGGAACCCCAACCATAAAATTATTCCATTGCTACTTCATAACTATAATTTTACTATTCTTATGCATTATATTGTAAGTAGCTGATATGGAGGTTGTCTGATATATGAGCCCTATAAAAAGATCGTTTGGTCCCTGTGGGGGGCGTGACCCACAGGCTAAGAACCACTGCTCTAGAAAATAGCAAAGCCAATAAAATAGATTCACCTCTAGAAGGAATGTAGCTCTGCCAACATTAACTTGAGTCCAGTGAGGCTTATCCTGGACTTTTGACCTCTAAAATTATGACATAATAAGTTTGTGATGTTTTAAGCCCCATAAGTTTGTCTTAAGTTATTACAACAGCAAGAAGAAACAAATGCACATTCCAGTAACTATTTAATGAGCAGCACAGTTTTGAAAGTAGAACTGTATGTCACCACTAGGCAGCATGTAGACATTTTAATCTTAGGTCTACCTTTTTCTCAAAACAAATCAGCTAAAGTGCAAATATGCTAAAACCCTTTACAAAGTAATCCCACTTATTGCAAGAGGGACTTAAATGGGTAACTGATTCACACCTGCTTCTAAGTGGGCTATTTTACTTATAAACTACGACATATGCTTTTATAATGGGAATGATATTCCAAAGCAAAGGCTGAAACAGATATAATTCTTTTTAAATGAACAGATTGAGGTAGGTAGTTGGGATCGGATAAACATGTAATGGAAACTCTTTACATAAACTAAATTTCCCACGAAGTAGCAAGAACAGAAAATATCGATGGCTTCCTAGCACAAGGCAATAGATCCACAGACCCCAGTTTTCTGAAATTCTGCCTTCTGCATGGCCACAGGCCTGTTGCTTTGCGTGCTCTGCCTCCATCAGTATCCACCTTTCCAAGAAGTGGGTGAGATTAAGACACATGTCCACTAGGCAGGGAAATGCATTGGGTGCATTGGGCAGA